TTATAGGTCCCTCAACTGTGAATTATAACCACAAATAATTAAAACAATGGTATATAAACCCAACACAAATATGACTGGACACATCAACTTGACTAGATTTGGATATCTTTCGCGACTGGACAAGAAAAGCAGGGCCCTAATTGATTTTCGTTTTATTGCAATTATTATTATTATTTTAAAGGGGTAATGGCAAATAGGACAAGGGCACTTAATTAAGAGAGGGACCTCCAATTTTTTGTCTTTCAAATAAATCCAACCTATTCAAACTTATTTGCAAATAAGGAAAATCCTTTCATATATACCAAAATTACCCCCAATTCATTGAAACCCAATTCAACTCCAATTTCATGATTTACACCCCAATTTAGCCCAATTCATCAATTAACCAATTTTAACCCTAATTTCAATTTTGACCCCAATTTTAACCCTAATTCTTATCAATTCCACCAATTATGCTCTAACTTCCTTAATATTACACATTGACCCCGGATTTAAACAAATATATCACATTAACCCCCCAAAATTTTTTTTTTCAGAAAATATTTTTTTTTCTGAAATGTTTTCTTTTCGGCCAGATTACGGCGTTGACCGCCGGAGACCGCTGGTTTCCGGCGTTGACTTTTTTTTTTTTTTTTTTTATTTTGTTTTTTCTTAAAAAAATTTTTAATTAATATTACTGTCTTGGCTGCTAAATTACTGTCTCCGGCAGTTATTTAACTGCCGGAGACAGTAATTTAGCTGTTAATTGACATTTTTTTTTCTTCAAAAATATTTTAATTAATATTACTGTATATCTTGCTAAATTACTGTCTCCAACAGTTATTTAACTGTTGGAGACAGTGATTTAACTGTTAATTGACTTTTTTATTCTTAAAAAAAAATATTTTTAATTAATATTACTATATTCGTTTGCTAAATTACTGTCTCCAACAGATATTTAACTGTCGGAGACAGTAATTTAACTGTTAATTGACTTTTTTTTCATTTTTTTTCTTAAAAAAAAATATTTTAATTAATAGTACTGCCTTAGATGCTAAATTACTGTCTTCAACAGTAATTTAATTGTCTTAGACAATAATATTAATAATATTACTGTTCGGAAAAATAATATTAATAATATTACTGTTCGGAAAAATAATATTCATAATATTACTGTCCCAAACAGTAATATTACTGTCTGAGACAGTAATTTAGTAGCTAAAACAGTAATATTAATTAAAATATTTTTTTCTTCTAAGAAAAAAAATTAAAAAAAAAAAAAAAGTCAATTGTAGATGGCAGGAGGCCGGGGGAAAAGTCTTATGAGTCAAGTTGCCGGTAAAGGCAAGAGCTTAATGAAAGCCTTGAGCGGGAAGGGGGACAATCTGGAAGATCCGGATCGCATTGGAGACCGAGATGTCCTTGCTTCCGCCCGTAGAAGAAAGCAGTTAGCTCGAGAAGCAGCGTTACAGCGGGAAGAAGAGAGACTGAGACGAGAAGTTGTTGCAGCTGGAGCCGGACCAAGATTGAGCAGACAAGTGGTTTGTCTAATGGTACAAGATTGTTAATTATTTGATTAGGAAATCGAGTTCTAGAAACATAGATTATATCAAGTTCAAATATTGAAGACAAAGTCTTTATACCAAGATTTTGGTTAACCCCATCATACAAGAGGATTCCATTTCATTTTCAACGTCGACAATTCCCTATTGGTCTTTCATTTGCTATGACAATAAATAAAAGTCAAGTGTATGTTGTTTTTTCGAGGGTTACCGCTCGAAATGGTTTGAACATACTTATAGTTGACAAAGAAGGAAAAACTTCCAACAGTACAACAAATGTTGTTTATAAAGAAGTATTCTCAAATATCAGGTAACTAATTTTGTATATTATTCAAATTATTTATTATGTAAAATTAACTTTTGCATCATGAACACATTCGAAATTATTGTACAGCATGTGAAGGTGGATTCAACAGGTTTGAAGATGTTGTTATGTTATACTTTGCCACATTAAGAATGCCAATCTTTTACCCAAAGTTGTTTTATTTATGTCCCCACAAGTATATTTGTATCTACAACAATTTATGTTCGTATATTGTTTGTTGTTAGTTTATTTTTTATTATAACATTCTCTTATGTATGCCCGTTTTCATGTCATTTATTTAAACTATTTTTTGTATTTTATTTGGAAACAATCCACTGTGCAACGGGTCAGGGTACTAGTTTTCATAACAAAAAATAGATTTAAAAAAAAAATGCAAAACATATATTAAATATAAATAACCTATAAATAATAATAATAAAAAGAATTATCACAATATACCTAAACATTTTAAAGCATTTCTAATTTAATTTGTGTTGTATATATGTGCTTATTTTTTTAGGAGTACTGTGTGGACTGTAGACAAGTTGAATATATGTTATAGTTGTTAGTAATAAAATCATTCAACTCTTATATTTAACAATTATAATATAATTACTATGTATTTATTAATTATTTAACATTACAAAAGTTTTTAAAGTATTTATTAAACATTTTTTTTCGAGTAATTATAAAAATTTAACACTTAATAGATGTTTTGTTTTATTTATTAATTAAAAAAATAACA